ACGTATTCAAAGTCACACTCAAATAATGTGCATTTGAATTATTGTGTTGATGAAGAATATTGCATATACTATGGATTTCCAGAAGAATGAACAAATTAAAGACCAAGTGCTAGAAAAAGACATCATGTTTGTAGAGGGTCAGCAAAAATGAGAGAAACTCTCAGTGAGATCAACTGACACAGTAACAAATCAATGGACAAACATATCAACAATTGTGAAGATGGCATGGAACTCAGTAACCTTTCATTCTTATACATGAGGCTACTGTGATTCAGAAAATTCTCCTAAGCAACTAACAACAACATAGAGATGTGTGATATGGTAAGCTGTTTGTTTACTTTCTTTAGTCCTAAAATGTTAAAGGTTGATAATGAGCTGCCAGAGCTTAACTTTGATGACCTATGGTCTCAGTCAATAGAAATAAGCTATAGAGATGTGCTGTGCTGTTTTATGTAAAGTGCCATCAAGTAGATTTCAACTCACAGTTATACTATGCACCACAGAACGGAACACCACTTGGTCCTGCACCATCCTCACAGTTGTTATATTTGAGCCACTATTAATCCATCCCACTGGGGCCATTGTGCTTGGTAAAGTAGACGAAAAAAAGAAGAAGACCCATGACCTGATGGACTCTAAAGACGCAGAAGCGAATAAAGCTTAGATGTGAAAGAGTATGTTGATCATCTAATTTAGTTTGATGGTGTCAGAAGATTTGTAATGTTAGTTTTGCCAGAAATGGTGTTTGTGTGTGTGTGTATATGAGAGAGAGAGCGAGAGGGAAGTGGGGGGGAGGGAAGAATAGCTCAGGACAGTGATACCTTAAATGGCTCTGGGATCATAAAATGAGGCAGATGCATACATGCCTATGATAAGATAGATTCATCAAGCAGGCTCTACATCTTACAACTTTCCAAGGTACCCTTTAGGGTCATGAATGAAGGTTTTCAGCTTGCAGAAATTACTCAACTATGGCAAGATTAATTCTGAATTTTGTTCCTACAGAAAGGAAGCCATTTTTATTCAGTCTTAATCACAGATCATTAATATAGCTGATGAATTATATATGTCTTATTTAAATATAATGAGCTCCATTTAAGGGAGGCTCATATAATTTAACTTTAGTTCATATTCAATAGATAAAAATTTCCCAAGAATTGATGTAGGTTGTTAATAATCAGGAGGCTTATCCATTTTAGAATAATGCAGTATAAATGTTCTCCACTATACAAATCAGCACGAAGCTCTGCTGGTACAGTGGTTAAGAGCTTGGCTCTTGATGGAAAGACTGCAGTTCAAACTCACCCCTCCATGGGAGAAAGATGTGGCAGTTTGTTTCCATAAAGCTTATAACTTTGGGAATCCCACGGGGTCGTTTTAGTTTATCCAAAAACTTGCTTGGAGTTCTGGTGTGGCACTGTAGGGTAAGCACTGGACCATAAAATCCATTTGAACCGTAGATGGGTGGTTCAAAGCCACCAGTTGCTCCTCAGAAACCCTAGACAGGGTTGCTGTGAGCCAGAATAAACTCGAGTGTACTTAACAACAGCAACATAGGTTTGCTTGCTTGGTAAAATGGAGGGTCAACAAAGGAGAAGATCCCGCCAATGAGATGGACTGGCACAGTGGTAGCAGCCATGGGCTCAAGTGTAACAATAGTTGTGAGGTTGGTGCAGGACCAGGCAGTGTTTTTTTCTGTTCTGCATAGCTCTGCTATGAATCAGATGTGACTTGATGGCATCTAACAACACCAACAACAAAGTTGCTCTGAGTGGAATCATCTAGATGACAATGGGTATACAACTCCATGGCACTTAACAACAACAACCCAAGAGTTGGTCTGACTCACAGAAACCCTGGATGAGGTTTCTGAGGTTGTAAATCTTGGAAACAGAAAGCCTCATCTTTCTTCCACAAGCGAAGAGTGTTGTTATTGTTAAGTGCTGTCAAGTTGGTTCTGACTCATAATGATCCTATATAGGGTTTCCGAGGAGCAACTGGTGGGTTTGTGCCACCAACCTTGCATTTTAAATTGACCTTGTGGTTCAGTGCATCTCCTACAGTACCACAGCAGTACTCCAAACCAAAGGGCAGTTTTCACAGATTTAGTAAAAACTGGTATAAGAATTAAAGAAAAATACTCTAAGAAGCATTAATACAGTGATGAAGTACTAAAGGACAAATTATCTAGACTGATAACTGTTTAAGGTCAGTGATTCAAACCCACCAACCACTTCTCAGAAATCCTATACAGGGTTGCTATGAGTTGGAACTGATTCAACAGCAATTAACAACAACAATAACAACAAATGTACTCCAAGATAATAATTTTTTGTAAAATACTAAAAGGATGTAATGCAACATATTCACTCTGTACAATGTTTATCTTAGATGTTTTTATAGCCATGTCATGGTAATCTGATTTTCTTATGGTAATCTAATTCTTTGGCTTGTTATAAGAGAGGCCATTGCTTATAAGTTCTAATATCGTTTTATTGTTGTTTTTGAAAGGCTAACTGACTAGTTTAGTCTCTGTGATGTTGGGAATGTATTACCTAGTGCGACTCTGGCTGCAGATGCATCATAGTTGATCCAAAAAGATACCCAGGACAGAATTGTAATCAGTGTAGAAGGCATATAGGTTTGCAAAATAAAGTAACCAATGTTCCTCTTTAGACGAAAACTTAATGACAGTCGTGGATATGCCCCTGAGTTGAGAAAAAAGAAAAAGAATCACATCATTTGGTTGGAACCATCTTTTTCCTTTAACAGCACCCCTTGATCACTTTGTGGGAAAATAACCTTACCTGTTGTGAACTCCACTTTTTTGGATACCATCTTATAGTCAACAATGGAAAACTGGGGAAGCTCAATTTTATTAACTCCTGTTACTGCTCCCTCTCCTCCATTCCAGTAAAATTCAATGTCATCAGTGGTGTAGCCATCTGAAACCAAGAAATACAGCAGAGTTCAATAAAGTTCAGTTGCACTTGACAATCTACAAGCTAGAGAGAAAATTCCCAGCAAGTGGCAGTAAGGTGGCTGATTTGGATTTGAATTGTGCCTTCTATCCCTCTGAAGTATGTTGGAATCCTAATCCCTAAACCTATGTTATTGTGGTTATAAAGCACCGTTGAGTCCATTCTGAATCATAGTGACCCTGTATAGGGTTTCTGAGGAGCCACTGATAGGTTTGAATCACTGACTTTTTGGTCATCAGTCCAGTGTTTATCCTACAGCACCACACCAGGACTTCATAGAGGGTAGCAGCGAGTTGGACTTGATTCCAAAGCACACAACAATAACATACCTGTGGATGTAATGGCATTTGGGGAAAAGATTTTCTTTGTTATGTTTCTATGTTTATGAGGCCATATCAGTGTAGGGGGTGGTGTCTTAAACGTAATCACTTCTGAGGTATCAAAAGAGCAGATTAGACATGTAAGTAAGCACAGGTGGAGGATGATCGATTCCACATGAAGGTCATCAAGGAAGCTGAACACTAGGACTACAGAAGCTGAGGCAAAGATCTTTCCCCACAGCTGAGAGAGAGAGCCTTCCCTTATAGCTAGTGACCATAATGTCAACTTCTAGAGTCTGATACTGTGAGACCACAACTCATCTGTCAGTTTGCGGTACTGTCGTAGCTTTCATGTTGCTGTGATTCTAGAAGCTATAGCACTGGTATTTTAAATACAAGCAGGGTCACCCATGGTGGACAGGTTTCTTCCAGATTAAGACAGACTCAAAAATGAGAGACTGACTACTTTCAAGCATTTAGTTACTGAAAACTTTATGAGTAGTAGTGGAACACTGTCATATAGCATCAGAACATTGAATATTGAAACATGATGAAGAGCACCCGAATACTGTCAGCTATTGTTGTTGTTGTTAAGTGTTGTTGAGTCAGTTCTGACCCATAGCAACTCTATATAGGGTTTATAAGGTGTGGCTTGAACCGCCAACCCTGTGGTTTAAACCAACTTTGCAGTCCAGCACAGTAACTCACAACACCACATCAGACTATAGTGCTGGAAAAGGAGCCCTCAGGTTGGAAGGCACTCAACTTAGAAGAGCTGCTTCCTCAAAGTGGAGTGGACCATGAGGACCCAAATGGAGTAAAGCTTTCAGGACCTTCATTTGCTAATGGGACACAACTCACAATGAGGAGAATCAGCTGTAAACATCCATTAATAATAGGGACATAGAATGTATGAAGTATGAATTTCGGAAAATTGAAAGTTGTCAACAATGAAATGGAATGCATAAAGATCAATATCCTAGGCATTATGGAGCTGAAATTGACTGGTGCTGGACATTTTGAATCTGACAACCACATTATTTACTATGTTGGAAGTGACAAATAGAAGAAGAATGGCATTACATTCATCATCAAAAAGAGCATGTCACGATCTATCTTGAAATACAATGCTGTCTGTTATAAGATTATAGATATAAATATATATATATACTTACAAGGAAGATCAGTTACTACAACTATTATCAAATTTCCACACCAACCTCTGAAGCCAGTGATAATGCATTATGATAAGACTTTCTGCTCCCGTGAAGATTTACAGCCTTGGAAACCCTACATAGGATTGCTATGAGTCAGAACCAACTCCACAGCACACCACCACCACCACCACCACCATTAAATGACCAAGATGTTAAAAAAGAAATGTACTTCCACAAAGATAATGCTTTACATTCTACCTTGTTGAGTAGCGAATAGAATCTTAAAAACTCATGAACTACCATCTAAGGTGAAACTATTGGCCCCTTTCTGGCCAAATTAAAGAATGATGAAGACAGAAGTCTATTGGAATCAATTAGTACTATGGACTAATGGAACATGTGAATGTGAATCTTTATGACCCTGATACCAGAACTTGATGGTGCTTGGATAACACTACCAACTGCTCGAGAGAGATCACATTACAAGATCCTAGATAAAGTGGAAGAAAATGTGGAACAAAACTCAGTCATAAAAAGACCAAGCTTAGTGGTCAGATAGAGACTGGTAAGCCTTGAGACTATGGCCCTAGGTTATCCTTCAGGTCATGAGATGAACTCACCCTTGGGGCTCAGTTTTCAACCAAGTAAGGTGGTGGGGGAGGACAGCAACACTAATTAGGTATGCACACCATAAAAAGATCAACCATTCAAGATCAATAGGGCAGTATTTACCCAACCAAAAAATTATGGAAGGTTAGAAAAGAAGGAGGAATGGAAATAAGAAAAAAACGGGAGGAAGTGGCATAAGGATGTTGCATGGAGGGAATTGCAATCATTGAGATGAAATCCAGTGTATGATTTGTTGAATATAAAACTGATATCTGCTCTGTAAACCTTCACTCAGTTCACACACAAAAAAGTTACATAACAAAGAAAAGAAGTATAAATTTCTTTAACAAAACTGGGCTAATTTTTCTTATTATCCATTGATTCCCACTTAAAGCCCCACCACTTGTCTGTCTTATAGAAAGATAAGGCTTTCTACTCCCTTAAAGATTTAAAGCTTCAAAAACCCTATAAAGGATCACTATGAGTTAGAACCAACTCCATGGCACATAACTGCCACCATCAGTTTGTTGCACTGTGGTGGCTGACACGTTGCTGTGATGCTAGAAGCTATGCTACCTGCATTTTGAATGCTAGTAGGGTCATTCATAGTGGGCAGGTTTCACCTCAGATTCCAGACTCAAACAGACTCAGAAGAAGCAGAGACAGACTACTACAGAATGTGTAGCCACTGAAAACCTTATGAATAGCAGTGAAACACTGTTAGGTAATAAATACCAGAATATTGAACACTGAAACATTATGAATAGTACCAGGATATTGTCAGATATAGGTAATTCTCCCTGCCAGACAACACCAGTGTAAGTTACTCTGAGTTAAGCAGAGGAAGGTAGAATCACCACTGAGTAGTATCCAATCTGTCTGTGCGGGGCTGATGAAAGGAGATGGGGATAGGTCTCTTGT